TCCTAACTTAAGAATTTGCTGCTGTAATTGGCTTAATATTTTAGCCGAAAGCAACTCTACCAGACCCCAAACCCAAACAAGTGGACCATATGGGAAGATTCCCCTGCATCCTTATCATATATCAATCTCATCATCCTGGCCACCACCCATCTAGAAGAATATGAAAAAGATGAAAAAGAATCTAAGAATATAGAACAAATCTAAAAGCACAAACTCAAAAAAGTCACAACCAAAATAATGGAAAATCCAAACCTAATCGACCTATAGACTAACTGATAGTCCACTCAAAATTAACTACCCCAACAACCGTGGAAATCAAGAAGTAAAATAAGGCACCAAAACCCAAAATCAATACTTATTTAAGACAAGTATAAATTATATTACCTGGTTTCTTGCGTGATTCGGAAGAGTTGCCGCCGATTCCTTTAGGCAAAAAGACACCGGTTCCAACTGACCCAGTTTTTGAACCCGGCTCACCGAGGAACACCGCTCTCATACCCGAACTGGGTTGTTGTTGGTTGCTCTGTTGCTGCTGTTGCATGTTAGAGTTAGACCATGGGCTAATTGAACTTGAAGTCGGAGAAGGCACAGTCTTTTGCCCAATATTGTTATATCCACCATAAGCTCTCGCTTTGTTTTGGTACACTTTAAGCTGTTTTTTGTACTCGAGTTGTTTCATAAGCTGCTCTTGTTTGAGCTTAAGGAACTTCAAAAAGATGAAAGATAAAAAAATTAGTTATATAAGCAGAAAAAGAAAGGAAAAAAAAACAATCTAATTTTGACAGGATCTATGCTTTACTCGAATAGCTCGTATTTGATCATCAATAAGAGCTTGTTTAGAGTGAAACTCAACGTTGCTGTTGCTCATGCTTGAAGGGACTTCACTATTCATCTTCATCTTCTCAAACTCCTCCATCATGATTGGTCCTGGTGGTGACGGTTCTCGAGATATATCTATTTGCCTCTCATGGTTCATGCGTAAAGGTGACCAATCTGTTGATTGCGGCGAACCAGCCGAACCCCATGACTGAAAATTGCAGTAAACCACGAATTAGAGTCTTAAAATCAGATAATGCCAGAAAGGAACTAACTTGATCAATAAATTAACTACCTTTTCTAGTTTATCATCATCCTGAAACATGAAGTGAGCCATCTGACGAATCAACTCAGCCATGAACTCTTCGTCCGGGTCGCTTTCTGTCTCCGCCGAACCCACTTCTGACGCAACTTGCGAACTTAAAAAAGAGTCAGATGAAGCAAAGGAAGACCAACTGCCGGTGGTAGGGATGGGCTTGTTGTTTGGTGAGGCAGAGACCCAGTTTGAGAGTGAAGTATCACCACAATCTTGAAGATCATAAAACAGTGAAGGAGGCAGTGAGTGATCCGCGTTGCGTAGGTGAACATCCATAATAAATGGCTTTGAGTTGTGTTCAACAGAAAAGAGTTGAGTTGACAGAGGTCAGGTGGTGGTTTTGATGATTCGCTATGATGAGTGTTGCTGGTTAGACAAGATTCATAATATCTTGGTCTCTCACACACTGACACACGCACGCACCTCACAGGTACACACAAAAGAGAGAGGCTGAGTGAATCTGAATGAATATTGGACAAAAACACAGCTTTAAAGTGAGCTTTATATAGGAGAAGATGGTTGTTTTAGAGAGGATAAATTGGCTACAGGACATTTGGTACTTAAAACTAGTCAGTTGGTGGGTCTAGTTTTCGGGCACTAATGTTTAGTTGAACTGGCGTTAGTAGTTGGACCGTACATTTGTCCAGCTATACAACTCACCTGCCATTTGTTAAGGATTGTGATTTCCCTCACTTGGAACAAAGATATGAACTTAGTCTTGTAAATTCCTGCAGCTTTAACCTTTATTCTATTTGTTCTTTATGTTAAGGAACTGATAGAAAATTCATCCCCAGTTGTTTTCTGTCTGATGCTAGAGTCAAATAATTTGTTTGTCAACAAAGTCAGCTGGTTTTGCATTAGGTGAGTTAATGGAGTTGTTTCTTGTCAATTTTTTACTTGGATACTAAACTTAGAGATTGCTATATGACAAAAAAAACCTCACTAGTTCAACATTAATGGGCAGCTTGTAAGTGGATTTTTTACCAAAAAATTTCCTCCATATTCCCTTTATTCTCCCCATGCAGAAGCCATTTTATATTAAGATAAAACTTCAGTTTTCTGGCAAAATAGAAAAAGAGCAGTTGAGTTATGGGTAGTTGTTTTTACTCAACTGGACCGCCTTATTTGACCCATTAAGTTGGAAATCAGGGTCTCTGCCTCGGGCCCTCCATTAGTCAAAGGAACAGTGATAATAAGTTCTGAGAAGAAAATGGGCCAAATCAACCTCTGGGTTCCTGAAGTGGGCTAGAACTCTGTCAAACTCAAGATTAAGGGGAAGAGACTCCCTCATGCCATCAACATAAGAACATCGATTGAATTGATGTGATTACTGATATCAAAAACAAGAAGGGGTTGGGGGCTGACGAACAAGTTAGTTAAAACCTAATTAAAAGATTAGAAGAGAGGTTTAATGGAGCAGGTGAATGTAGCCAGTAGGTGAAGTTGAAGAATGAAAAGTTAAAAAGTCTTGGTGGTTAATATTATTAACAAGAGTAAACATTTTTTTTTCCTACCTAAATAATGGTTTAATGACACTTTTTCATCTATAGACTTTTAAAATACCTTTTTATTACCTAAATCGTTGCGACTTTATACTACCACCATTCTCTTATTCGATCATCACTCATCAAAACTCTTCAAACTCTACTCTTACCGACACCATCAATCGCCGACAATCGAACGATTAGAGTTTGTGCAACCACCCCTCCTTAGTCAAATTTCGATTAATACCGATCATCAAAATCCAACCTTTCAATACCAAAAGACCCATCAATCTCTGCTTTTTAAAAGTCTTAATAACTTAGACAAAGTTTACTCTTTCTTTGTCACCAAAATATAAATTTGAATAATAAAATAGTTTTTTTAAAAATGTCTAAGTGGGAAAATGTCATTAATCTATTATTTGGGAGTGAAAAATCTTAACTCTATTAACAACTTAACCAATATTTGTTCAATTCTCAAGAGACTGAGTACAGAGAAGCCCGTTTTGGTAAAAACTGATCCTTCGCGTGCAGGAGAGTTGACTAGTTGATTAGAATGGAATGGCAGTTGAGAGGCAATAAATCATTATAAATTTTCACTTTCATTTTCCAGACTTAATGATTATCTACTGTTACGTGCCATAGATACTGATTGAGTAATTAATTCCACCAGTTATCCTATCTAGAGTGGATGGTCTTCAGGGAACCTTGCTCTAACCCAAGTCTTCAATCAAATCTTCTCAATGTATCATAGATGAATTNTTGTTAAGGATTGTGATTTCCCTCACTTGGAACAAAGATATGAACTTAGTCTTGTAAATTCCTGCAGCTTTAACCTTTATTCTATTTGTTCTTTATGTTAAGGAACTGATAGAAAATTCATCCCCAGTTGTTTTCTGTCTGATGCTAGAGTCAAATAATTTGTTTGTCAACAAAGTCAGCTGGTTTTGCATTAGGTGAGTTAATGGAGTTGTTTCTTGTCAATTTTTTACTTGGATACTAAACTTAGAGATTGCTATATGACAAAAAAAACCTCACTAGTTCAACATTAATGGGCAGCTTGTAAGTGGATTTTTTACCAAAAAATTTCCTCCATATTCCCTTTATTCTCCCCATGCAGAAGCCATTTTATATTAAGATAAAACTTCAGTTTTCTGGCAAAATAGAAAAAGAGCAGTTGAGTTATGGGTAGTTGTTTTTACTCAACTGGACCGCCTTATTTGACCCATTAAGTTGGAAATCAGGGTCTCTGCCTCGGGCCCTCCATTAGTCAAAGGAACAGTGATAATAAGTTCTGAGAAGAAAATGGGCCAAATCAACCTCTGGGTTCCTGAAGTGGGCTAGAACTCTGTCAAACTCAAGATTAAGGGGAAGAGACTCCCTCATGCCATCAACATAAGAACATCGATTGAATTGATGTGATTACTGATATCAAAAACAAGAAGGGGTTGGGGGCTGACGAACAAGTTAGTTAAAACCTAATTAAAAGATTAGAAGAGAGGTTTAATGGAGCAGGTGAATGTAGCCAGTAGGTGAAGTTGAAGAATGAAAAGTTAAAAAGTCTTGGTGGTTAATATTATTAACAAGAGTAAACATTTTTTTTTCCTACCTAAATAATGGTTTAATGACACTTTTTCATCTATAGACTTTTAAAATACCTTTTTATTACCTAAATCGTTGCGACTTTATACTACCACCATTCTCTTATTCGATCATCACTCATCAAAACTCTTCAAACTCTACTCTTACCGACACCATCAATCGCCGACAATCGAACGATTAGAGTTTGTGCAACCACCCCTCCTTAGTCAAATTTCGATTAATACCGATCATCAAAATCCAACCTTTCAATACCAAAAGACCCATCAATCTCTGCTTTTTAAAAGTCTTAATAACTTAGACAAAGTTTACTCTTTCTTTGTCACCAAAATATAAATTTGAATAATAAAATAGTTTTTTTAAAAATGTCTAAGTGGGAAAATGTCATTAATCTATTATTTGGGAGTGAAAAATCTTAACTCTATTAACAACTTAACCAATATTTGTTCAATTCTCAAGAGACTGAGTACAGAGAAGCCCGTTTTGGTAAAAACTGATCCTTCGCGTGCAGGAGAGTTGACTAGTTGATTAGAATGGAATGGCAGTTGAGAGGCAATAAATCATTATAAATTTTCACTTTCATTTTCCAGACTTAATGATTATCTACTGTTACGTGCCATAGATACTGATTGAGTAATTAATTCCACCAGTTATCCTATCTAGAGTGGATGGTCTTCAGGGAACCTTGCTCTGACCCAAGTCTTCAATCAAATCTTCTCAATGTATCATAGATGAATTGTCAACCGTAGCATGTGAGTATGTGACACTTGCGGAAAAGCATATTATATTACCACCTTCATTGTATTTGCATTAAATAAATCACACCTAAAATTCAACAACTCAACAGTACCATCTCATATCTTCTTCATAGATCTTCCTCAAATCCCAATTGATTCTCAAAATTTAAGTTATTTGGTGTTTTGATCTTCATTTGAACTTCTTACAGGAAGAAGAGAGAGAGAAAAAAAAGTAAAAAAAGATGACAAATGATCGAAAAATAGGTGTAGCTATGGACTTCTCAAAGGGAAGTAAATTAGCTCTCCAATGGGCCACTGATAATCTGCTAGACAAAGGTGACACACTATATCTCATTCACATTAAGCCTTCTCTTGATGATGAATCCCGAAACCTTCTCTGGTCCCCCAGCGGTTCACGTAAGCACCGCACTATTGTTTTTGTATTAAGTTTTCATATAAACGGTGATATAATCTTTTCTGTTTCTGAATTAGTTTAATGAACTCTTGTCTAGCCTTGATTCCATTGGCGGAGTTTCGAGAACGCGAGGTGTTGCAGAAGTACGACATTCAGTTTGATCCTGAGGTTTTGGATTTGCTTGAAACTGCTTCAAGGCAGACACATGTACCTCTCTGTTACAATAATTGTTTTGTTGTGTAATTATGGGGTTATCTCTTGTTTTATTTTGTTTTTCAATCGAATTATGGGTTGGAATTGATTGTAGGCGAGTGTAGTAGCAAAGCTATACTGGGGCGATGCTAGAGACAAGCTGTGTGAGGCTGTTGGAGCTCTGAAGCTTGACGCTTTGGTTATGGGAAGTAGAGGTCTTGGCAGCATCCAAAGGTATAAAGATACATACATCTTATTAACCAAAACTTATTGATAGATGGGCTAGTGATTTGTACTCTGAGTTTGAGAAAATTATTGATTGATTGGAAATAGGGTTTTGCTGGGAAGTGTGAGCAGCTATGTGATAGCAAGTGCGACATGCCCTGTGACAATTGTCAAAGACCCGAGTGCTAAAGGTCATTGATTCTGATCTCAAGTTCTTAATCTCATCTTGCAAAGGATTGTATGATTAGGAATAATGTGTGCTATTGTTTCTCTCTGATGGTGGTTTTCGTGAGATAGACAATTGCACAATGTTATTTTCAGAAAGTATTGCCACAGAGTCAGGCTGTTCAATGTATAAACCTTATTCCAAGTATGTTTAAATAATTAAACCTTGAGTATGTTATTTATGTTCATGGTTGTGTTACAGTACTGTAAGTGACAATAATATATATCTGGGTTGTTTCTTGCTTCTTATATTTGTTTCTATCACAACTTCAATTTTATAGTTGGTGTTTCGAAAGAATTATATATACCTTCAAATATTCAGAACGGTGAGAAAAAAAATACTATTATTAGATCTTCAAATCATAAAACATGAGAGTTTTGAGGCTCATAGGGTCCTATCAACTCACATATGAGCCCTAAACTTTGATGCAAATCACTTCCTGAAGGCTTTCCGGGTATGTGCAAGAAGCTTTTCTCTTGGAGGCAAGGATTCCTGGACCATGGCAATGTCAAGGAACTTCACTATCCAATTATGTAAAATGGGAAATTTCTCTTCATTAATCAACTCTACTTCTAATACTTCTTGCATTATTCCAAACCAATGAGCCACGACTATCCCAACAATGTCTAAGTACCCGATGGTGTCACCTCCAAAGAAGCTCTTGTCCTTGAGCTGGTTTTCAAAAAATTTCAACTGCAGAGAAGCTTCGTCAATCGCCTTCTCCAGCTCATTCTCTTTGCTTGTGAAGGCCTCAAACACTGTCCATAGCAGCTTCAAATAAGAAGCAAGTGATTTTTATTAATTGCTGCGAATATTAAAGATTAAACATTTCTGGTATACTTAATTTACCTTCTCATCTATAAATTTTGCCCAAAAGCGTGCCATGGCTCTGTCATAAGGATCTTCAGGCATGATCGGATTATGTTTCCAAGTCTCGTCTATGTATTCGAAAATGGCTAGCGATTCTGAAATGGACTTTCCATTGTGTACAAGGACTGGAACCTTTTTATGGATGGGGTTATACTGGAGAAGCAAAGGACTCTTGTTGGAAAGGTCCTCTTCTATGTATTCAAACTGAATCCGTTTTAGTTTCAAGGCCATCTGTATTCTCTGACAGAATATGCTTGCCCACATGCCAATCAGCTTCACTTCTTCACCCATTGTCGATTTGGCACCTGGAAAATGTTATCGCAACAAGTGACTGATGTGCATTTTCTTGTATAATTTTATCCATTGGTTATTGGTAAAAGATGCATACTAAGGTTACTTTCCTAATAGAACTTGAGGCTGTATTATCATAAACATTGCCTGGAAAGCTACTGTTGTTGTCTTTTTTTTTTTTCGTGGTTAAAAGGTAATTTTATAAAGAACAATGAATTACAGCTAAAAAAGAGAAAGAACCCTTAACAACCAAGACCCCTGGACAGGACCAACCAAGGGACAAGCTACACAAAAGGTACCAAGGGCATCAGGCTAAAGACTGCCCATAACAACAAAACAAAACAAGAACTGTTAAACTCTAAGCAAAAAGTAAGTCCGGAACCAACAACTCTGTACAGACAGCAAAAAGGCCCTCGGAAACAACTCAAAGATCAGCTTCCAAAAGCTAAACCAGCCTGTACAAGCTGTATACCAGCAGCACCACACTGTACACGCTGCAAGGATGCAGCAACCACGGAGCAAAACAGCTGCTGCCTTAGCTGGAAAATACAGCAGCCCAAAACCACAGAGAGCAAACAAAGAGCAACCCAAAAACAGACAACTGTTGTTGTCTTTTTCTATGTTTGCAAGATGGAGAACCCATACTTCGAAATTTACTGGGTATAACCAATGATCTCTCTAAGATACGTCTTTCTGATCAAATTAAAATAGGATAACTTTCTGCTAATATGTTTCAAAGCATGCTGCTGATTTTTTTTGGGCAAGCAGCTAAGAAAAATTACAACTGTCAATAACTCTCTTAGAAGAATATAACTTGGAACAGGCAAATTTGTGTCAATCTGATAACTGATAGAGAGTTGTAACTTGGTAAAGTCAACAAATTTAGTGAAAAGGGTCATTTGTAAATTTTCAAGCTTAACCAAACTAAAACAATAGAAGTCCCATAACATTCTTCTGATATCTTCTGAACAACTAAGTGAACAAAATCCAATAAGAATCTGTTAACATTAATGTATCTAATGGATGAGAGGTATAAACTTTTACAAAATCGCATCTTGTATACTATACAAAGAAAGCATTATAAGCTAATCATACAGAATCTCAAACATGAGGTATAAAAGATACAAACTTATTATCCTTAATCCTACCTGATTTAAATGCAAACCCAATTTGCCGGCGAGCTCTTTCTCTTCTCTCCTTTGATAGCCTATTGATTTTCCTTTGTCACTCTTCTCTTTCACTCGGTTCTTTCCCCCCTTTTTCTGTTTCCTCGAGCTTTGACTGTGACCTGGGCATCTTCCCTAGTAATGCGAACTCCTTAACAGTCAATTTCGGCTCCTCCCTAACATGACGATAATTTACAGGGTTATTATCCCTCACCTCCCTTGAGGTTCAAAGACACCCCCACATGTATAATAAATTGTTTCTCACCTCCCTTGGCATTTCATTAAATCTGTCTTACCTCCCTCCTCCCCCGTTTATTTACAGAAAACTTTCACACCTAGTTGCTTTTAGAACTTTTATGTCATTTTATTTGTTGTTTTCTCTTGTGGTTTGGTTGACTGGTTATCACTTATCTGATCAACCACCCTATATTTACCTATCAATAATTATTCCCAAGAATTAGTCAAGGAAATTTTCTGAGTGAACAGAAATGCAAAGTTTTGTTATAAAAGCAATATCAAGGATCTAAGCCTTTGGTAGTAAATTTCTGCATCCTCACAAATGGGAGTGAAATAGCTATATCTAACTCATCCTCTGGTTTTGTACTGTTTTTACCACCCCTTATTTGGGGAAGTGGGTTTGGCCTTGGGGTCTTGCTAATGGTTGAAACAGAATTCAATTTGTCCTACTTTAGTTAACCAAGAATGGTAACCTCTTTCAAAAGCATACAGAGTAAGACAAAATAAAATTGCCATCGCAGCAAACAAACGAAGGTTTTATTTACGTCAACCCAATTAAACGTACGATCTCAACAAGTGGACACAACATAGTCATAAAACACAAGAGTTGGGCTGCAATCTTATTAACAAACTAGATTAATTTCTTCTACTTGGGAGCAGAGTTGAGTTTGAGGGCATCAAAGCGAGCTTTATCATGAGCAAGGTGTTTCTCTCTTGGTGGAATGCATGTGTTGACAATGTCAATGCTTTTGAGTTTCTCAATCCATTTGCTTAGAGCTGGAAACTTTTCTTCTGTGAGTAATTTTTCTCCAGTAACCTCTTGTGTTACTGGGAACCAAAATGCAATAACATTTGCAACAATGTCCACATACCCAATTGTTTCACCTCCAAAGAAGTCCTTTCCATTGAGTTCACCCTCCAGCATTTTCAGCTGCTGACGGATTTCTTCCATCAGTTCCTCTTTTTCTTTCTCTTCAACAATTGATAATCTTCATTCCTGTTGTCAAGATCTGCATAACGATATTGATATCTAAGTATTTAAATACATGGTTCCTAACGTGATCTTGTTGCAACAAAAAAACACTTACCTTTTCATCAATGAACTTAACCCAAAAGCGAGCCCTGGCTCTTTGATAAGGATCTTGAGGCAAAATAGGATTGGTCTTCCATGTTTCATCGATGTATTGAAGAATGACCAGGGACTCGGCCAATGGTTTTTCATTGTGTAAAAGCACAGAAATTTCTTATGAACTGGGTTATATTTTAGAAGTGAAAAGCTCTTGTTCTGTAGGTCCTCTTCGAAGTACTCATATGGTACCCCTTTTAGTTTCAGTGCAAGTTCAACACTGCGGCTGAAAGGGCTTGCCCACATGCCATAGACCTTCACTTGATCAGCCATTGTGTCTTCAAATTTATGAGAGAGACTGTTAGAGATGCGAAGATAATGTCTGTGGGTTGCGCTAGTTCATGAATTCGGCGCCTCTATAAGTCTTTTCCTTATCAAGTTTCTTGATGATCAAATCTGTCATTTGTAGTAAATGATCCAACTACTTTGAATTCAACACTCATGAGTGTAAGTATTTTTTTTTTTTATCCAGTTTCTTGACAACCAAATTTGTCATTTGGAGTAAATCATCCAACTACTTTGAATTCAACATTCAGGAGTGATTTAAAAGGATATACTTTTTCCACGGAAGTACAGATAAATAACACCATTTTTCTTTAGGTTGCCAAGACCTGCATACAAAAATCAATCACAAACGTAACAATACTGATGAGATAAATGTCTTTGAATTAGACCTATGAAGTTAGAAATATTCACTCCCTTACTTTGCTGAGATTTTTTTTTTTTTTTTTTTTTTTTTTGGTAATTAGGGTGTTTAGACTAATTTACGCGCATCTCAATTAATTCTCAGAGTCTATTGAATACCCTATAAACCTAATGAACCAGACAAGGCACAATTATACATTGACGTCCCAAAGTTTGAACCCAGAAAGTCAAAGAAAGGAGTACACCCCCTTAACCACCAGGCTAACCCGTTGGGGTTAGCTCTTCATATTTTGTTTCCGCCAACCATCATTTGGGAAAAAACCATTGGATATGGGTCACTTGAAACCTTCAAAGGAGGTTCATTTGTTAAGCCTTCAGTATAACTCTACCAACTTTAGTCACTGGAAAACTTGATACATCGACCAACTTACCATAAACAAATCAATTAAACTCAGAACATGTAACCTCTTGGACAAGCATGCAGATAGTGATAGGATGTAAAAATTTTATTGATAATATTACAAGAATTTATGGATTAGTAATAAACTGACTGACAGAAAAAGTGTAGTATTGAGTAACATCGAGGAATCTCTCTTCACTGAGCTGCTCCATTCCCACGAAATCTTGCAATAATCCAAATCAGTGAGCTATACCAAAAGGTTAAAATGCGTAAGTACCCAATTGTTTCACATCCAATTAGAGAAGTTCTCAACAATGATCTTATTCTCAAGAGCATTTGAAAAACTTCTTCAATGCCCTGTTCTTGTTCCTTCCCTTCAAAAAGATTATCCTTCTGTGCTGTTGCTTCAAACCTTTCCATGTTTTTCTCCACTAACTTTTTCAGGTATGATTTAGCCCAGAATGGATCGTGCATGGATCTTGAGGTGAAAACCAATTTTAATAGCATTTCACGCCCTCTATTAATTTTCAACATGCATAACAAACCAAACTTTTATTTATAGCTAGTATGCAATACACAATCATAAAACTCACAAGAGATGTGGGTTATGATCTTATAAAGGTAATGTATAACTCTTCATTTGGCAGCAGATTTGAAAGCTTCATAGCGAGTTCTAACAAATTCAAGATGTTTTTCTATAGGAGGTCGGCATTCATTGACTGCATCACTAGCTTGGAGCTTCTCAATCCAGTTAAACGGAAGTGGGAACTTTTCTTTAGTCAATAACTCTTCTTGTGTCACTCGGAACCAAAATGCTATAACAATTGCCGCAATGTCCACATAACCAATACTATCACCTCCAAAGAAGTCCCGCCCATTAAGTTCCTTCTCCAGTAATTTCGGCTGCTGAGAAGCCTCTTGTGTGCATTTCTCTTTTTCCTTCTCTGCACCAAAATAAGCCTCCCAAACTGTTGGCAAGACCTGCATACAAGAATCCAATGTACAATACTGTAAAAATATTCAGATCAACACATTATGTTCACACCATTTTCTGTTAGTTTAATCTTTCTGAAGAACTTACCTTTTCATCTATGAACCGAGCCCAGAAGCGAGCCATGGCTCTTTGATAAGGATCTTGTGGCAAAATAGGATTACTTTTCCATATCTCATCGATGTATTCAAGAATGACTAGTGACTCAGCGATTGGCTTCTCATTGTGTACAAGTACAGGAATTTTCTTATGAACTGGGTTGTATTTTAGAAGTAAAGGACTCTTGCTGGACAAATCCTCTTCAATGTACTCTAGGCTTCTTGCATTTTAGGCTATTGGGGTAACAATGGAGGTATTAGAGCATGATCTTGCACACGCGTGGCAGGCTGACCTTGGGCCCAGGCTGTTACCCCAAGGAAAGGGGATCCGCAAAGTCACCCAAGGGGTAAAGAGGCCGATGTGGAGCCCACGCAGTAAGGCCCAGTGGGCCTCTGGAGGGGTCGAGAAGGAGAGTTGCTGATAGGCTTCTAGGTGAAACAAGACCCAAAGGGAGGGCAGTAAAGGCCGATGAGGGCGGGCGCTCTCTAGAAAGAAGACCAACGAGGGCGTTGGGTCTCAAAGTGTAGGGGAATGTTAGGATCCCACATTGAAAGGGAAAAGGGTGAGCATGTGAGTTATAAAGGCTTGGGCACCCTCCCTTGGCAAGCCAGTTTTCCAAGGAGAGTTCTACCCAAACCCATGAAAGACCCATGGCCTAGCCCAAATTGTTGAGTTATTGGAGTGGGTTCCTATCAACAATGTTATGATCCCACATTAAAAGGGAAAAGAGTGGGCATGTAGGTTATAAAGGCTTGGGCACCCTCCCTTGGTAAGCTAGTTTTTCAAAGAGAGTTCTACCCAAGCCCATGAAATGCCCATGGTCCAGCCCAAATTGTTGAGTTATTGGAGTGAGTTCCTATCAATTGGTATCAGAGCATGATCCTGCGCACACGTGACAGGTTGACCTTGGGCCCGGGCTGCTACCCCATGGAAAAGGGATCCGCGAAGTCACCTAAAGGGTAAAGAGGCTGACGTAGAGCCCACGCAGCTGGGCTCAGTGGGCCCCCCGAGGGGTCAAGAAGGAGAGTTGCTAGCCTGACAGGCTTCTAAGCGAAATAAGACCCAAAGGGAGGGCAGTAAAGGCCGATGAGGGCCGGCGCTCTCTGGAAAGAAGACCAACAATGGCGTTGGGTCTCGAAGCATGGGAGAATATTATGATCCCACATTGAAAGGGAAAATAGTGGGCATATGAGTTGTAAAGGCTTGGGCACCCTCTTTTGGCAAGCCGGTTTTCCAAAGTGAGTTCTACCCGAGCTCATGAAAGACCCATGGCCCAACCCAAATTGTTGAGTTATTGGAGTGGGTTTCTATCAATTGTCAAGTTCACGTTAGAAGAAAATATTTGGATTAATTCAAGGAAATCCACAACCTCCAATACTCACTGATTGCAACTGTTTCGATACTTTTCTCATTAACATGAAAGACTTAAATACAGTTGGAAATAACAACTGACCGGATTACAAGGACTCAACCCATAAAAATAGCATAAATACGACGTTGATATTCAACTAACAACCCAACCTGAAGACCTATTCTTAAGCCAAAATACTTAGCTGTGAATCAACGGCTTAAGAACAAGTCTTAACCTGATGCCCACATACAGTTATTGGACCCAAATAATCAGACTAACCAAACTCAGCTGGACTCTGAACTCTACCAGATTAAATAATAAGCAACCAACAACTGGGCCCTTTATGCAGACCATGACCCAGCCCACTTGCACATGCCACTCATATGGTATCCCTTTCAGTCTCAGGGCAAGTTCAACTCTGCGACAAAAAGGGCTTACCCACATCCCATAGAGCTTTACTTTTTCAGCCATTTTTGCACTTCCAGAGAGATGCAATGAACTTGGTGAGACTCTACATTTTCTTCACTTATATTTAAAAAAAAAAAAAAAAAAAAAAAAAAAATCTTGGTAACCAAGAAAATATTGTATCTAATTCAAATGGTTTAAATTCAACGTAGTTGAGGTCGCAAGTGATTAACAGCAGACTATAGTGAAAGCGACAAAGGTGAATATGTCAACTACTCTTTTTGAAAAAAATTGAACTGGAAAAATGGAACTGATCAATTTGGTTCAACTTACTAAGATAGGCAAAAGTAGGCAAAACTTTCAATTGTCTGGGTGGTGTAGTTGGTTATCACGCTAGTCTCACACACTAGAGGTCCCCGGTTCGAACCCGGGCTCAGACATTGCCGATGTTTCAACATGTTTATAATTTTTTTCTGATCAAGGTGCTCTCTTCATAGTTCAGATTCTGTTTAGTAACTGGAAAAAATGATTTTTTGCTGTTTACATGGTACAGAATCCATCTTAATTTGCAGGAGCTTCTGACATTAGTTTCCCTCCATGGTTTTTGAGCTTGTTGTGACCACAAAACTAACGATCATTGATTGGCAATTAGTGCTGTTATTACGGATTAGGCAGCATCCCATATATCTGGCCAGCAATTGCTGTTTAAAAAAACAGTGCCAACTCCCAGGAAATTCCCCCACAAGTGAAGGCCACTATCTCAATTTTCTGTTGGTGAAACATTCCCAGTGCAACAAGCCAAGCTTTTATTCATATCAATAAGATTAAAAATACAATCACTCCAATGTCCACATACATGATATGCAACACATAAGAAAGGTGGGGCGGATGATCTTGTCAAGGCCAATAAACTCTTCACTGGGCAGAACATGCAGTTTGAGGGCTTCAATGCAGCTTTAACATAAGCAGATATTCTCTATTGGAGGAATGCATTCGTGACGACTCAAGGTCTTTGAGTTTCCCATTCCTTGTATAGAACTGGAAACTTTTCTTCAGTCTGTAATTTACTCACGAATTTCTTCGGTCACTGGAACCAAAATGCTACAGTATTTGCACATGTTCAGATATCCAATACTTTCACTCCAAAAGTCTTTTCCACTGAGAGCACCCTCCAGGATTTTCATCAGCTGATACATTTCTTCCATCACTTTCTCTTTTCATTCACTGCTCGTATTAAACTTGATTCCTGTTGGCAACATCTTCTCAATAATCTTTCTCAGAACATTTTATCTAAACTATTAAATTAAGAAAGATAATATTTTGACTTTCTAAAAAACACGAATTTCAATATCTTACTTTTCATCAATGAATTTGGCCCAAAAGCGAGCCAGGTCTCTTTGATGCGATCTGGCAAAATAGGATTTTTCTTCCATGTCTCACGTTGTACTCGAGAAGGACTAGTGACTCAGCGATGGGTTTTTTAATGTGCAAGCACAGGACTTTCTGATGAACTGGGTTATATTTTAGTAGTGGGGGGCTCTTGTTGTACAGGTCCTCTTCATGTACTCATGGGTACCCTTTCAGTTTCAGTGCAATTCAACTCTGCGGCTAAAGGGCTTGCCCAGAAACCATAGAGCTTCACTGTTTTGTGTTAGGTGTCAAAAATCGTCTTAGGCTTAACAAGACCCAATACGAAATACTATGTCACGGTCCAAGACCTTAACCCAATCTCGATTGAGCCTACGTTTAAAATCATCTTGCGACCTACCTATTTTATGAGTTGGGTCATCCATAAGGTTAGTTAAACTTGTTCAGCTCATTAGCCTGTAATCTATAAATAGGAAATCAGATTCTCATTCTATTTCCTCTTCTACTAAGATTTTAAATCTTACTCAAACTATTAAATTATCTCCCAAATAAGACTTAGTGTCCTATTAAGATTTCAAATCTTATTTAAACTATTAAACTTAATTTAATAAGGTCAAGAAATCATATCTCATATGATTATCTCCCAAATAGGACTTAGTGTCTTACTAAGATTCAAAATCTTATTTAAACTATTAAACTTAATATGATAAGGTCAAGAAATATATTTCTTTCTTGATAGGGATTATCTCCCAGAAAAGAGGACTCAATGTCCTACTAGATTCTAACCATTGAGTTCACTAGAAAAACAGAGGTTTGCCCTCTCATCAGGGGAATCCCCATAGTCAATCTATATTATTCAAAACCTTTATTTGCTCCTAAGTTCTTGCTCCCAAAACCTGACGCCTCCGCGTAGTCCTAGCCTCCGACAAGATTCCTAGTAATTCTCATCTCCTTAATTTATCAATAATCTCTTTCAGTCTCGTTGACTTGAGCGTCGAGTGCCTACGGCAAACACCACCCTGATATTTTCCGAAAGTTTCACGCTTGCCCTTTCATGTGTGCAAGTCTAGCGGATTGTTAGTGGCCCCAACCTCACGGATCAGACCCTATTTTCATGACGGTAGATTTTTGCATCTACAGTTTTTGGCCCAACGGCTTCTCTAATCACACAGTTTTAATCCTAAAATACAGTAGTAATCTTCTCAAAACACCCAAAGTCACTCCGAGAAACATGAAAAGAAACCTACCAGAGAAATGGGAAGAACCCACAAAACATGTCCAGCCTTCATCACACAAAAACCCCATAAACAGACACAAACCCTCTTAAAAAAAAATCTACCGTCTAAATAAGGTCAATCTCTGAAGTTGGTCACTAACAATCCGCTAGACCTGCACACATGAAGGGCAGTGTGAAACTTCCAAAAAACACCGAGGCGGTGTTTGCTATAGCGAGGTTGAAAGAGATTATTTGATAAAATTAAGGAGATGAAGAATTACCAGGAGTTCTTATCAGAGGCTAGGACTACGACGGAGGTGTCTTGTTTGTGGAGCAAAACTTGAGCAAATGAATGGTTTAAATAGTATTCTGTAGATTGCCCCCTAATGAGAGGGCAATCCTCTTGTTTTATAGTGAACCCAAGGGTTAGAATCTCTGGTAGGATTTGAGTCCTCTTTTGGGAGATAATCCCCTATCAAGAAGAAATATATTTTGACCTTATCAGATTATGTTTAATAGTTATTAAGATTTTGAATCTTAGTAGAACACTAAGTCCTAATTTTGGGAGATAATCCCTATCATGAAAGAGATATGATTTCTTGACCTTATTAGATTAAGTTTAATAATTTAAATAAGATTTGGAATCTTAGTAGGACACTAAGTCCTATTTTGGGAGATAATCCCTTTCATGAAAGAGATATGATTTCTTGACCTTATCAGATCAAGTTTAATAGTTTGAGTAAGATTTGAAATCTTAGTAGAAGCGGAAATAGAATGGGATTCTGATTTCCTATTTATAGACTGTTGCAGGCTAATAGACTGAAACTCAGTTTAGCTTAACTTATAGGATAGCCCAACTTATAAATTAGGCAGGTCGCAAGATGATTTTAAGCGTAAGCCCAATCAGGATTGGGTTGGGGCCTTGGGCCGTGACATGTTTATTTCGTTATTGGGCCTTGTCAAGCCCAAGACGATTTTTGGCTCTAACATTCAGCCATGGTAAATGTTGAACTTTCCGAGAACTTTTTGAGCGTGAGAGACGGTAGAGATGTAACGGACTCTGTTCCTTTATAGTTTTAATTCTTACAAAAGTGTCTTGATAACCAAGGATGCGATTTCTTCTAAATGAACCCATCCAACAGCACTGAATTCAACAATGAAGAATTCGCTGGCTTTTATCAAAAGAAAATTAAGAGAATAGTCTATTAGATTCTACTGGTAAAACATTCCCATAACAACAAACCAAATTTTTTATTCATATCAATAAGATCAAACATAAAATCTCACCAAGTCCAAATATTCAAACTTTGCATTACTAGATCATAAAACACTGGAGATGAGGGCTATAATCTTATCGAGGTGATACGAAATTCTTTACTTGGGAGCAGAACTGAGCTTGAGGGCTTCAATGCGAGCTTTAACATAAGCGAGGTGTTTCTCTCTTGGAGGAATGCATTGGTTGACAACATCTATGCTTTTGAGTTTCTCAATCCATTTGAATAGGACTGGAAACTTCTCTTCGGTCACTGTTTTTTTTCCAGTCACTTCTTGTGTAACTTGAAACCAAAATCCTATCATAGTTGCAACAATGTCCACATACCCAATAGTTTCACCTCCAAAGAAGTCCTTCCCAGTGAGTTCACCCTCCAGGATTTTTATCTGTTCACAGACTTCTTCCATCACTTTCTCTCTTTCCTTTTCTTCAGAATCTTTAGCTTTTAATGCTGTAGCCAAGATCTGCATATATAAGAATCAAACATACATGAAGATAATGTTTTGTTCAAATTTATGCGCAAACCATTTTCTATCAGAGAAAGTGTCTTTATCATGCACATATTACTCACCTTTTCATCAATGAACCGAGCCCAAAAGCGAGCCATGGCTCTTTGATAAGGATCTTGAGGCAAAATAGGATTGTTCTTCCATGTTTCATCGATGTATTCAAGAATGACTAGGGACTCGGCCAATGGTTTTTCATTGTGTACAAGCACAGGGATTTTCTTATGAACTGGGTTATATTTTAGAAGTGAAAAGCTCTTGTTCTGTAGGTTCTCTTCAATGTACTCGTATGGTATTCCTTTCAACTTCAGTGCAAGTTCAACTCTGCGGCTAAAAGGGCTTGACCATGTGCCATACAGCTTCACTTCTTCAGCCATCTTGACTCCTGAAACTTTCGAGAAAGAGATGCAGAGATAATGTTCTGTTACTCCTATGCATTGAACTTGGTTCCTTTTTATAATTTTTTGTTTACATAAGTTTCTTCGTAACCAAGTTTTTCATTGAAATTTGTAGGAATAATTTAAGGGAATAGCCGGCACCAAGGATAATTAAAACTATATATCTTTTACGTTGACAAGACTTGCATACAAGAATCCAAAACATATTATAGCAATACTAAAACAATGACAATGCTGTATACCATTTTATATAGTTTTGATGATAATTGCATTAATGTCTGTTCTCTGCCATTTTACTGTGTCAACAACTACTATCTTTGAAGAAACTGTAAACTAATAGCCACTTGTAAACAAATATTCATAAAAAAAAAAAATCAACAAAGCATTGAACAAGTAACCTTTTCATTGAACAGACTTATAAATGCAAGAATTTAGTCAACTGGAAATACATTGATTGACCTAAAACAAGGTGCAATTAAGATGAGAATAAACCAATAGTTCAATTAATAGACTAAACTTGGGCACATGAACTTATTTGATATAATTATTTCTGGATAAGGCTGTGATAACTAATTTGCAGGTTTCTATAAGTGATTTTGCTTCACAGACTATTTTTGAGTAAAACCGGTAATTACTTCTCCTGCGATTCGAACACAAAACTCTTGAGTATAATTAACTTTGATGGCTAAAGGGTTTGCTATCCGACCACAAGGGGAGAGGTTTCGTGGACTATTACCTTGGTCCTGGCAGCAGAAATGGACTAAATCTCCTGATTAGGCAATAAAGTTGCAAAGAAATTCCTCCACAATCAAACTTTTCGCTTGGTATAAGATTCCCATTATAACAAACCAAAATTTTATTCATATCAAAAAGATTAAACATACAATCTCAACAAGTCCAAATATAAAATACGAAATACATAATCATATATAAAATACTGGAAATATCGGCTATAAACTTATAATGGCAACATGAATCTCTTTAGTTGGGAGCAGATTTGAGTAGGGCGGCTTCAATGCGAGCTTTAACATAAGTAATGTGTTTGTCTCTAGGAGGAATGCATTCCTTGACAACATCAATGCTTTTGAGTTTCTCAATCCATTTGAATAGAACTGGAAACTTCTCTTCACTCACTATTTTTACTCCAATAACTTCTTGGGTCACTTGGAACCAAACTGCTATAATAGTTGCAACAATGTCCACATATCCAATACTTTCACCTCCAAAGAAATCCTTCCCATTGAGTTCACCCTCCAGGACTTTCATCAGCTGAAACATTTCTACCACCACTTTCTCTTTCTCCTTCTCTTCAGAATTAGTAACCTTCATTGCCAATGGTAAGATCTGCATAAACAACAATCAAACGTATATGAAAACAACATTAACGTACATCAGCTTTTTGTTCACACCATTTGGTATGTATCAAACACAAATATCGATAACTCACCTTTTCTTCAATGAACTTAGCCCAGAAGCGAGCCAGGGCTCTTTGATAAGGATCTTGAGGCAAAATGGGATTGTTCTTCCATGTCTCATCGATGTACTCAAGAATGACGAGTGACTCAACGATCGGCTTTCCATTGTGAACAAGCACAGGGACTTTCTGATGAATTGGGTTATATTTTATAAGATCAGGACTCTTGTTGTGCAGGTCTTCCTCAATGTACTCATATGGGATCCCTTTCAGCTTCAATGCAAGTTCAACTCTGCGACTAAAAGGGCTTACCCATGTACCGTACAGCTTCAATTCTTCCGCCATTGCAAAACTGTAAGTCTTCAGCTACGTGCTTTCTGGGATTTGCTGTTAACAATGTTGTGTTGCTTTGTTATGGAATGAACTCGGCGCGCTCCTTTATTTATAGGTTTCCATTAGTGATGTGAATGGTTTGAATTCTACGAAGAAGAAAAGTGAGTGGTAGTCAACTGTTCACAATTAATGACGAACTTAATGACGCCAATAAAAAGTAAAAGCAACTTTAAAATCCATGACGATCTCAGTGACGCCACAAAACCAGAAAGCTCTTTTCTAGAGCATTCCATCTGTAAAAGAATTTCAAATGGTATCTTATTTCGAAAGAAAAAAATTCCATCAGTACATTACGCCCAAAGTTAACCAGGGTCCAGGAAGGCAGGAAGTGTAACCATATGTACATTAAAGTCTTTTCCAACATTGTTTGTTTATGTCTTGATCATTAATTTATTAAGGTTTTGATCTCTTTTTTTTTTGCTTTTTTTTTCTTAATCTATTAAGATATTGAATAATTATGATATAAAATTTATTAAAATCAAAATATATGATTAACTATTAATTATAAGATAATTGCTTTTGAAAACACGAAGTCGTTGTAGTATAGTGGTGAGTATACCCGCCTGTCACGCGGGTGACCCGGGTTCGATCCCCGGCAACGGCGATTTTTTTCATTTAAGTCTTCAAGCCCACTAATGTCTTGATGTTACTGTAAGCCCTCATGCTTCTCACTTCTCATTTAAGTTCTTATACAGTTATACTTCTCAGTTCTCACTCCCATCAACCCCCTAATGTCTTAAGGGGTTTATTCAAAGCCCTCATACTTCCCACAACTCTTTTCAAGCCCGTAATGTCTCTTCTCTTACATAAGCCCAAAATCCCTCATACTTTTCACGTCTCTTCAAGCCCCTAATGTCTTTTTTTGAGTTTTTACATTTTTCCACACAAGGTTTGTCAAAACCACGTTCTTGAATCAATAAAACTATGCTTACTCACAATCTTACTAACCATCTTACTATCCTGATAAATATAACAACATAGTACAGGTACTATGCGTATGGTACCCGTACTATACCGTTATATTTTCCAAGATTGTAAGATGGTTAGTAAGATTGTGAGTAAGCATAGCATTACTCTTCTTGAATACCTAAACTAAAAGTAATTTTTGAAAAATTGAGAAATTGGAAACAAAATAAAAATCTTCCAGATAATTTAAAAGAAGGTTGTCGGAATCGCACTAGGCCAAATATGATTCTAGCCTACCAAATCGCACCTAGCCTGGTGCAATTTCGACCTAGTATGATTCTAGCTAGATTGTTGGCAACTGATTATTTTATTTTAATTTTTAATTTATTTATTAATTGTTAATTTATTTTAAAATTCATTTTATTTCAGAATTTTAGGGTCGAAATGGGAAAATGCAAATACTTATCGAGTTAAAATAGTCATTTAACATGTCTTTAACTTTTTAATAGCAAAAAACCTCAAAGTCAAACATTTAGGGGTATCTGGTACTTGACCAGAATTTTAGGGTCGAAATGGAAAAATGTAAATACTTATGGAGTTAAAATAGTCATTTAACATGCCTTTAACTTTTTAATAGCAAAAAACCTCGAAAGTCAAACATTTAGGGGTATCTGGTAATTGACCACAAGTCAGCAAACAAAATAATGACGCTGTGTCAGAGCTCAATATCCGTTAACGGAGTTGCATTTTCGGTGTGTATTTGTAGTTTAGGCATTCAAGGGATACGACCGTGGGTTTCGGAAAACTTTAGGTGCGAAACGGTAAATAACTCCTTTTTCACAATTTTCTTAAGCCCTCATATTTTCGTTTTTATAAATTTTGCCCCTGCGCTCACGTTTCCCACTGCTCTTCACTCAAGCCCTTACGTTTTCATTTTTTGAAATTTCACTCAAGCCCTCACGTTTTCATTTTTTGAAATTTCACTCAAGCCCTCACGTTTCCCACTCTGCTCCTTCCTTCCTTGCCTCCAAAGACAAGTTATGCTCCATCCCACACACAACAAACACTATTTTTAACACTTTGACGCCACGCCATGAACATCAAAAACTACAACACCATCGACATAGTTCTTCCCCACCTTCAAACTTTCCCCGCAACAATGTCTAACTCAACACCATACAGAAAGCCAAATACCACTACCATTCACATCATGGCACTCGATGGTATCATTAACGTTAACTCCTTGTTCACTTTGGGACTCTTCGTCGGCCTCTCGTTGTATCCTAATCCCTCCACCACTCTCGTCTCTGTTTCATGCTCTCCAGGACCCGCCGTCTTCGAGAATTTAGTTGCATTCCACGTCTACTCCTTCAGTTCTTTTCTCTTCTCAAGTCTTATAGCCTCTGCTTTAAAGCAAGCTATCAAGTTTACGAATAGTAGTGTAGAAAGCCAGTTACGTGGTGTTGGTTTGACAATGGTTGAGGTCAACTTAATATTGTTGCGGGTGGGGATTCTTCTTTCGGGTGTTGGGTCAGTTTCTGGGTGTGGGTTCTTGACGATGGCTTTGGTGAATTTGGTTCAGGTTAAGTTAGGGGTCTTGGATTGTAAGAGTTTTCATACTTTGGCTGCAATATGTCCTCTTGTGACTTTGGTCCCTTTGGCACTTGTTTTTTATGTTTGTTTAGTGCTTTATGCTTTTATTCGCTGAAGATTTATAAATAATGAACACTGTTTTTGCTGTGCAATTCATTTGTTAACTGCTAATAAATAAATTTTGTTTATGTTAAGCTTAGCTTGGGATTAGATTAGAAAAAAAACTTGTGGGGATTAGTTTAAACTGATTCACGAGACTTTGAATTATATATAGTTAATCTGAGTTCTACTATTTTGAGAATTTTTTATGTAATCTACTGGTTTAGGTACATGATTTGGCAGATGGTGGAGAATATTAAATTGCAGATATTGAGGATGGTTCATTACTTCACTTTGTTTCTGTTTTTTATATTTAATATGATCTATAGAGTTGGGTGTATCAGTGACCTGAAATTTTGCTTATTGCAATATACAAAGAAGGTGCAGAAATCAAAGTAGGCTATATTTAAATTTAATTCACTAGTCAACGGATGTTGTTGCTGCTTATGCAAGGTTCACCATTCTTCATGAGCAACTTACCAAGAATTGCTCAAATTTTGGGATCTGGTTTGTCTTAAACAGTAGAAATCCATGTGCAACTTCCTTCTATTCAAAACCAAAACCACAAATTAAGATTCCATATGCCTCTACGGCTCTACCTTCTACTTGTTAAATCATAGAGTTCATCAAGGAGAAAAAGAGTTGAGGAGAGCTTTGATTTGATATCTTTTTCCTCCACTTCCATGGCAAAGGATCAGGTTTTTATCTTCAGTTTCCGTACTTTATGCTGCATCATTTTTGTTTTATCTGCATTCTCATTCATCTCTTACCTCTATTGGTGTCATTGCTCTGGTCCATGCTATAGCCAAGACCAAATAATAGCCTATAAGCAAAATAAAACCATTAATTTACTTTTGTTCTCTTCTGCTTGGAACCATCTTTCTTTTCCTTCAAAACCATCACAAAAGCTTCTTAAAATTGCTCTTTTTGTCAAGAAATGGCCTCATAGATCTCATGCAGGTGGTCTTGAAAGGCATGCCTTGACTCTCCATCTTTCCCTTGCCAAACGAGGCCATGAACTTCATATTTTTACCACTTCTTGCTTTAACTGCTCTTTCCCCACATACCCTATAAAAAATCTCTACTTTCACCTCTCAAAACCAACTGCTGCTGGTTATCTTGATCAAGCATCAGTTTGGAAGCAATTTCAGACACAAAACACAACAGGGAAACCCTTTGATGTGGTCCACACTGAAAGCGTGGGTCTTATGTATACTCGAGCACGAAATCTGAAAAATCTAGTTGTTAGTTGGCATGGGATTGCATATGAAACAATTCATTCTGACATCATTCAAGAACTTTTGCGTACTACTGAAGAGCCACAGGCATATGCTTTAACTGAAAGAGTTGCCAAGGTTGTTGAAGAGGTTAAATTTTTCCCAAGCTATGCTCATCATGTTGCTACTAGTGATCATTGTGGAGATGTCTTGAAAAGAATATATATGATCCCAGAAGAGAGAGTTCACGTCATTGTCAATGGTGTAGATGAAGAGGTTTTCAAGCCAGATGCTGCCATGGCGAAGAATTTTAAGCAGAAATTTGGTGTTCCTGAAAGTGGACCATTGGTTTTGGGAATGGCAGGGAGGTTGGTGAAGGATAAAGGACACCCCTTAATGTTTGAAGCCCTGAAGCAAATGCTCATGGAAAATGATCATTTTCGTGGAAGCATTGTTGTTCTGGTTGCTGGAGATGGTCCTTGGGGTACTAGATACAGGGATCTTGGGACCAACATAATAGTTTTGGGGCCACTGGAGCAAGCTCAATTGGCAAGGTTCTACAATGCAATTGATATTTTTGTGAATCCAACTCTTCGAGCGCAAGGATTGGATCATACTTTATTAGAAGCAATGCTCTCTGGGAAGCCTGTAATGGCTACAAGGCTTGCCAGCATTGTGGGCTCTGTAATTGCTGGCACAGATGTGGGTTATACATTTTCACCAAATGTAGATTCTGTAAAGAAGGCTCTCTATAGGGTCTGGGGTGATGGCAGAGAAGTTTTAAAGGAAAAAGGTTTTGTTGCTAGGGAGAGAGGGTTGCAATTGTTCACTGCCACCAAAATGGCAGCTGCTTATGAAAGGCTATTTATTTGCATATCAAATGATGAGAGCAAAGGTGAAAACAATTGTGATTACCAACCTCCATTCAATTAATATCCTTGCGTCAGTGTGGCATCTTGTAAATGTATGCTGTAATATTTTAGAACTACTGGGAAACAAAGAAGGTCCTTGCATTTCTGAGACATTACTTCAAGAATGAAAGTATGGAAATTAGGCACTTTGTGCAACACTAGATTAGATTGACAATGATTTTGACATGATCTGCCAAAGGATGAAGAGATTTGACAGAAACACAAGCTGCTTATAGAAGTTGATTGTTTCCAGACATTGAAGAGTTCAGGGAAAGCTAGATTTAATTATGACCATTACTTTACCATGACTGCTTTTGGAATTGGAGGTAAGATTCCATATATTTGTTTCTGATTTTCTATCCTGCTCTTGCTACACTTGCTTCATTTTTGGGTTTTTGACTATTACCCAGGCTACAATTGACTTCAGAGATCGAAAGAGAGTAACTGATGTGAGTTGCAGATGACAAAACCTGCAAATGAGGTATTTCAGCTTTGAAGATAGTGGTGAGAAATGGAAACACAAAAGCTATTGGCAAACCTCATATGCAATTCGAAACATGAAACATTTAGAAGAATGTAAGACATTGTGTCTAGCGTACTACGTAGTTGATGCTTTCAGCATTAGAGGTAGTTTCTTTATACACTGCTACAGCTGCTCAACTACTTTCCATTGCTTATGTATCAGTTTTTCTATTCTATTTTTTGCTCAAGGAAATTGTGAACATTTTTGTTCTGTTCAAACTGTAAAAGGCTTTAATGCAGCAATAAGAAAAAGGATGCCACTGAATTACATAACAAACCTTAAAGCATCTACCTTGACATTCATGAATGGTTATCAGTTCTTCTATGCCTTTCCAGGCTTAAAAAAAAAAAAAAGCATATATACATGACACAATTGCCTCTTATAGACATAGCCCAATACAAAGTGGTAAAATAATAAAAACTGGAGAAGCTATTAGAAAAACTTAATGGCTCTCTACAACAGCTATTAATTGTTTATATTGCATGTCTTGCGTGGTCATTACTTCATTAGACTTCAAGAATTCCTGCAAAAAGTGGAATTAAAAGAAGAGAGGAACAGATCAAACAACTAAACAAACTATTTTGTTTTTTTATTCATCAAATTCTTTTACAAGAGAAAAGATGCTGCATTAAAACAGTTGATTCAGTGCAAATATGGGGTGAACATCCAAAAATGGCTTTACTGAGGAAAACCGAATCACCCTTTCTGAAGTAGATTCTATGATTCAACATACCTTATAACAGGCGGAGAATTCATGTGTCTAGGGAAAGAAAGGTCCTAATAATAAAGTGAACCTGCAAAAATGCAGCTCAGAAAATTGTACAAGTTAGCATATTCTACAACCATAAACATTTGTCGCAGATTTATTGAAAACGTCTGTACCTTGCCACCAATTTCCTCTAGAAGCACCATGTGAGTTGCCATTGGGATCATCTTCTTCCCCATCTTTCTTAAACTAATTCATTGACAAATTATGTAGCACTTAGCAGAATTATTATGATGCATCGTAAAATTAGCTAATTATGACAACAATATCATAGCATAGTATTTGTACAAAGTTATTAGGTAATAAAGACTCACCACAGGGTATGATCCAGCGGCACGAGAGCTTGGGGAATGGGAGTAGATGTCTTGTCCACCGTAATAAAGAGATGAACTTAGATGACATGGTTCTGCGATTTCTTCCTGTACAATAAAACTCTTGTTCTTGTTGGGTATGTTACAGCTTGCACCCCCAGTACATGAAGCTATATTATTCAGAGAAAAACACGAAGCATGAGGTGATATTCTCCGAATTGTAGCTTTTTATCTGATAATTAGAAGTACTCAGTTCACCAGAAGATTATGCTACTTTACATATAGCAAATCAGAAATAGATTTGTGCAAAAATATTGAGAAATAACATAATAAGTAACATAAAGAGAAAAAAAAAATGATGGATCTGTAATTGGTGTTACAGAATACACGAAGCTTCAGAGATTTTTTTTTTTTTTTTTTTTTTTTGAGGACCCCAAGTATTTGCAGCATTACAGGTATTTCCAAGAATACTGTTCCTTAAAAATAATGTTTAGATCAACAAAAGGACTGCATTTGTTCATACTTGCAGAAACAGTGAAGAGAAATTATACTTTTTGTAAACAAGCTTGTTCACCAACCTGCAGTTCCTTGTTTGGAGCTAATCCGGTCTTTGTTCCCCGGATGCTGTTTTTGCCAAGATCCCATAACCTCAGAATTCGAGGCATTCCTCCCTACCCCCTGGAAATTGGAAACATAAGGTTCAGATAACAAAAGTTTTATGAAAAATGAGTCCAGTATAAATTAAAGTAAATAACATATGATAAGAGATAATTAATAGAAAAAACTATTCAGCTTCACTTCATGAGTACTGATTTTATATTACTATCCACTGAAGTAAATAACATATGGTATCTTAATTAACATTAAGCTTGAGAATTATGCATTCAGAAAAGTTATTTCCAAATCAGACCAAAACAAACTTTTCCCATTTCTACTTATTTTATCATATCAGGAAAAATAATGAACCACAGCATCCAATGAACAGAACCCTTTTATCTATATTATACAATAAAGAAACAAGCATCGATATACCATAGATGGAGGTGACAGAATAGAAGCAAAAATCCCTGAGGAAGATGGTGGTGGTGACTCCTTGGTGCCAAAAAGATCAGCAGTGAAGGAAGAAGAAGAAGAACTCGATTGCCTTTTACCTTCCATAAATACTAAACTCAAATCTACCTCTCTGAGAACTAAGTAGTCAAATAGTCTAACAAAAGAACTTCCAAGAAAGACCAAAGTCGAAAGAAACAGATAAAGATTTTGTGCAGAGAAAGAAGAAACAAACAACAGTGAACGTGAAGATCACAGTTATGTATGAGCAGATAACTCTAAATTGCCATCAAATTTATAATGATACACAACACAAAAGACGGCACTAGCTGTGCCGCCCATGTGCCATTATCATCATAAAAAAAAAAGAAGAAGAAAAGCTTCCTCTTTCTACACTTTCTAAAGGGTTTCTTTTTTAAATACCAGAAGATTTGAAGGAACCTTCATTATTATTCCCTCTCATTCACATTCTGTACATTCTCTTCCTATATATAACTAGAATAATATCATCCTCAACTAAACCTAACGGATAAGTGCCACGTGGGGTCCAATGCATCCTAAGTGGATCCTGTCATGTCGTGACACTTGTCGTACAAATGGATAATTCCAACCTCTCCTGGTGCTCTAGAGTCAAATAAATAAATTGTTAAATGTAGAAGCCTAAAACAGTATCGTTTTGAGTTACAAGAATACGACGTCGTTTTAGGCATATTGACCGGGACAAATTTAGACCGCAGGATGCACTCCAGATCTAATGGCCAGGATCAATCACGAAGTCAAACCATATATAAACACTCTTTCGTTCAGATTAGAAAACGACACATATATTTTAGGGTTTTCTGGGTTTACACTTCTGTGTGTTAGGGTTGAGATTATTTTTCCAGATTGTGTGTTAAATCAGTCGAGTAATTAGGGAGTTTAATCATTCAGGTGAGAGTATTGTTCTTTCGGGTTAGGGATATTCAGAGAGTATCTTATAAGGCTGGTTGCAGTTTGTAATTGGGTAGATCTGATGAGTGTTGAATCTGTGTAATCCTGACAGTTCCTGATAATCGAAGTGCAGTGAGCTTATACCGTTCTTGAGCTCAACGTGGATGTAGCTTATCCATAAAAAGATAAGTGAACCACGGTAAATCGTGGCTTGTTTGTGTGTTTGTTCTTATTGTGTTTTCTTGTTTCTTGGTGTGATTGATTTGTGTTGGTGTATAGATCAGTATTAAGTTTCTGTTATAACATAAATAAATAACTTCATAAACTCACCACCCTTCTCACTGAGAAAACCTTTCTCTTTCTTGAGGCATCAGCCAATGACCCTTGATGGAGAGATTTTCTTAGATATACATAATTGTAAAGACATGGAAAGTGAGAGTGATGAAGACATATTAAATCATTAGATCCGACAGAGAAGATAACTAGATAAGATTGTTTTGATTTCCCAAATTCCACCCACCCAACTTGACTATTGGATGATGTTCTCAAAATGGTTGATTTGATTCCACTATCATCACTGTTGATAGTCTTGATACCATGTTACCAAGATATCATTCATTCATCAACTTGCACCTCATCCATGAAGAAGACGAAGTCATCTACTTGTCACCATATCTATATTTTTCTGGGTTTTTAAAACTTGGATTTGCTCATATAAAACTTCATGTTAAAAGAGAATCGTCTCTTTGAAGTAAACATAGATGAGCCCTTATGAAAGATAACATTTTTTTCATGAATTGATCCAAAATATCTTCTCCAAATATTCTTAAGATAGTAAAATATTGTGAGATTCTTTGAGGTAGTGATTAAAGTTCCATTTTTGTAGAGAGTGAGTACAATTATTGCTATAAACAAAAGGGTTTATCATCAACTTAAAAGGGAGTCAATGGGCCATCCATCTCACTGTAGAATACTGCTTGCGAGTTGGCTTGGTTTCGTTGGTGAATACTTTAATTTAGGTCATCTTCTCATGATTTACGTAAAAATTTGGTTCCAAAAATGAGTCATTAATCATACACTAACTAAACGATTGGGGCTTTTAATTCATCACAATCTTTGTTGCTTTAATAAGGCATCTTTGTTTGATTATAAAATTGAAGGTAAAGATGTAGTAACAGCAAACCTAGCATCCACTGGTTAAAACTTCCAAGAAAGAAGAGAAAAAGTATTTGCCTGAAAAAAAAAAACGTGAGCGGCAGGATTCGAACCTGCGCGGGCAGAGCCCACATGATTTCTAGTCATGCCCGATAACCACTCCGGCACGCCCCCGTGATTATGTACTTCCAGTGGTCAAAGCAAATGATGAATTGATCGTATGAAAAGTTTTCTACACACAAAGAGTAACTATGTTTACTCACCATCTTACTAACTATCTTGATATCCTTGTAAATATAACACATAATATGGGTACTATACGTATAATACGGATGCCATGTGAATTTTAACAAAGAGATAGGCGATTAGTACAACTCGTGAGTAAACTAGTGTGTTTTCGCATAGGGTAATACTATACTACTAACGGATTTTACTAATCAGTGTACTAAATCATAGTACAGGTACCATGCGCATAGTACAGGTACATGTTGAGACAAAATTAGTTATAAAATCCGTTAATATGCAAAATATATCATCCACCATACTCCACGTATTGGATGACCATTTGGTATAGAGAATTAGTATTTCCCTTATACATACTTCCTTTTTAAGACTACCGAAAGGGAATTTGGGCTGAGTTCTCAACATACAAAAGAGTCGATGAGTAATTACACTAGTACTAGTTAGAAAAAAGTTAAATTCGAGAACCAAGAAGAAACACAATCAAGTTTAGTGCATTGATCCAATACAAACATGAACCAAATGTTTTTCAATCTGTAAGTCATGAATCACAAACATGATTTGAGTCTTGATATATTCTCATAACAGTTAAAAGCAGCCTAAAAACATACAGTGCATGGATCAAAATGAAAACTCCCTTTCTCATACTTAATTTCAGCTGACGAAGGGTACAAAATGCAAGCCTCATAATCTGCCAAAAATCTCTTCTGGAGGGTCATAAGCATGTTTTTCAGGAAACAGCTCCTCAAGTCTTTCTTGACTTTGTTCCTCAAAAGAGGATGCGGCAAAGGCCTTTTAACAAAATCCTACGGCAACTCCTCGGTGGATCCGGAGACTTTACATGTCTTCATATATGTTCATTGCATCAGCAGGAGAACCATCATTCAAGAATCCCCTAATCACTTCTGTGTATGTTTGAGAATCAGAAACAAATTCTCCTTTCTCAGCTTTCCCAAAGCTTCATTGCTTCATCCATTTTTTTACATCTGGCTAATGCAATTATCAAGTCCTTGTAGAGAAACACATCAGGCGTATGCCAGTCTTGCTTTTTGATCACCTCGAATATCTGAAAATTCATATTATCAAGTTATGAGAACCCAAAGCTAATAAAAAAAAAAAAAAAAAAAAAAAAAAAAAAAACAACTATATTTCTTTGAAGCTTTTCATCAAACAGTGACAAACATTGTCCACCAAAAAAAAAAAAAATTCTAGAAAATTACAAGAATTTTCACCGCAAAAAAGTACATCCTCCCATTAAGAAAAAACAAGCTCAGACAGCAAAGCATTATAAATAGCCAAAATTGATTTGAAAATAAAAAGATGCAACTCATTAGATGAAGACAGGTTAAAAGAAAATTTTATAGAAGAACTAATTTTGTGTATTAAAGCAAGAATGTCATGCAAGAACGCCATTACCTTAACAGCTAAAACAGTCTCATGTTGGCGCTCAAGTTCAGTAAGAACAGCCACCATATCCATTTTCAAGAGCCTTAGAACATGAGATTTAATGAACTTTTGAAGCTTCTCTTCATCATCCTTAAATCTCTTCAATCCCAGTATTACGAAAAGTGCTTCTTTCCCTATAAGCTTCTTTCCTTTCCAAAGTGGCCCTCTTGGCCTCCCATCATGGTATAGCCTAAACCCTGATATGGGATTCTGTACATTCAAGTCCTCAAGCGGAGTTTTAGGTTTTAAAGCTAAAATTGAAGCCTCTTTAATGGGTCCTTTAGTGAGGCTTTGAAGGAAGATTGAAGCTAAAATTGGGATTTTTGATCTCGAAAACGCTCGTATTGCCATTAAAGAGCTTCAAAGTTTCACGAGAGAAAAGGTTTAAGGGTTTTAGAGCTTAAAGTACAGAAATGGAAAAGAAAACGGTGTCGTTCTAAGTCACCCAACCATGCAATATGCTTAGTAGAAGTAGAATGATGTGTATCGATAAGAGTAAACGACTTCTTTTTCCCACCCAAGGTTTGCCTTACTAACCTTGCCACCCAAAAAGTTTAAAAATACCACTTTTCTACCCAAAGTCAATATTCTGTTAATACCCAAAATACACTTCACTTTCTCAACCAACATTCGACGAGTCATCAAGAGTCAGGCTAAAAGGTGTTTTATAGAGTGGAGGCCGGTAGATCAAATAGTGATAACCGATTGAATATTTTCTGCCGAAATTAGCCAAAAGTTAGCTAAGAACAAAAACTCTTAACTTTGCGATGGTTGGCAATCGACAAGAAATCAGGTGTCGAAATGAGAGGAGTTTTGTATATATAAGATTGGAGGTTCAAATAGTGGTAACGGAGAGAATTTTTGCTATTGGAATTAGCCGAAATCAACTTTGGGTAATAATTGTCTAATAAATTATTAACTTTGAGTGAGAATGTGATATTTTGAAACTTTTTAGGTGAAAAGGGTCATTAAGGCAAACCTTGGGTGGGAAAATGTCGCTTACTCATATCAATAATGCTATTTTTCTTGGCACTTATCATTCATTAACCAACTTAAAAATAACAAATAAATTCTAATAAAATTCATATAACACACCATCACTTAATATTTTATCTAATGGAAATTCTAGGCAACATGAATAGAAAGCTTCTATTTTTCATGGTGATTGGTTATTTCTTTGGTTCACTATGTAAGAAATTGTATTCAATAGACTGTTATAGTTTATATATGGTTGAGCTTTCTTCTCCCTTAAAGCTAACTTTTGAAAATGAGTTCTATCCAAACTAATTTCTCGTTAGTATCATAGTCACGTTTGTTCCTCTTTGTAAGGATGATTCGATGAGAAGAGAAAGAGTTCGATGCCAAAAATGCTCCTCCAAGCGTCTAAGTTCAACAAAAAAAGACATCCATCTGGTTTAATACCGGAGGTTTCAGCTTTTCTTAGTAGGAATTTTCAATGCATTTACTCAAAAGGTTGAAAGATGTAATGCAATATCGTTGTAACAAAAGAAACATTATTACATCTAAATGCGTTTGATGTATAAAGACCAAGACAAAGCATAGTATCAGTTCATCATCCTTATCCAATGTCTAATCACATTTGTTATCACTGAGCCAGTAAAACCTCTTATGTTAAATTTTTGATTAAATCTAGGTCGTCGCGATGACAGCAACTGGACTTCTCACACTGTGCACCCCATCAGACCACACAAGGGATCCAGAAAAAATAGTAGTCACCGTAACACCTTTACCAGTAACAGTCACATCGAAAGATTTCTTCTCATTTTTTGACTCGAAGGAGAGAACTTCAGGTACAACTTCGATTCCAACTTCTGAGCTTGAAAAGACTTGTGCCTTGTATGTGGAGTTTGGAAGACCGACATTTGTAACTGTTCTATGAAAATTGATTGTGAAAGGCTTTTCTAGTGAAACTTTAGATGACATTGAAGGGTAATTGAGATCCTTTGGCGATGCCTTACCGGAGGCTTTTGGACAAGTGCTGTTATCTCCTGTAACAAGTCTAAGTGTTTCCTCATTATAACCTGCACTGCACAGCATTCTTATGTAGTCTTCTTCAAAAGCGTCATATACAAGTCCTGGATTTACAGCTTTTATTGGATTGACATGCCCGGATCCATATGCAAATTCAGCGTCTGTAGTTTTGGTTTCATTCATTGGAAATGCTGCAGGCAGAATAAAAATTGTTGATTTAGAAACACTGAACTTATGAAGAAACTCATCAAGAGTTCATGCAGTTTACTATAAAAAAATGATTACCAGTGGTCATTATAGCAGATTTGATGGCGGAAGGAGACCAAGTAGGGTTGAATGTTTTAACATATGCAGCTACACCAGCAGCATGAGGGCATGCCATTGAGGTTCCAGACAGTATATTGAATTTAACCTGCCTTTTATCTTCCACGTCCGCGGTCAATGGAGCGATAGGTGAAAATGCAGCCAAAATATCTACTCCAGGTGCGCTTATATCTGGCTGAATGACATTATATCACCAAGTTAACAAAGTAAATCAATATTTCCATTGAAAAGAGAGCGTAGATTTAAGTTGAGAGCAACATATACCTTAAGAATCTCAGGCAGAATAGTATTTGGACCACGAGAAGAGAAAAGAGCAAGAGAAGGAGCATCAGAATCCTTGATGATTTCGGTCTTTAGTATTTCTGCTTGAGGGCTTCTGAAAATCCAAATGCAAATATTTTACAATTTTCTGTGATAAAATAGGAAAGTACCCAAAAAATAGCTACTTAAAGGTATCAATACTTTGTAGAATCCATATAGTCGATGATACTGTCGTAATCACTAGAAGTCACTGATGTTGCTGGCAAAGAAACGACAAAGGAAAGCAGGCTATTTTCAATGATCGATCCTGCAGCACCTGCTCGATGAGCTGCGATATCTCCTGTAGGTTGTTCACATAAAACGATCTTTCCCTTTACTAAACTGCTGTTGAGACAAGTGCCAGAACACGACCTGAAAAGCAAACAATGTTCATTATTTGCTCAAGAAGTTATGAGTTCATATGGTTTTAGAGACGAACATACAAGTCACCCGGTGGAGGGCAATCGCTAGAGACTTGTGCTCCAATTACCAGAGGATATTTTTTTCCATTCTGAGTGAAACCATTAATTGCAGCTCCCTATTTGGGTTAACAAATCATTAGAGTATTGATAATGTAAAATATGAGTACATATTCATAAATTCGTTAGGTAAATGAAGATTCAATTGTTAATGATACATACCACTATTGCCGTTCCATTCCCAAGAACAACTCTGTCTATGAAGAGGCGATCGGTGGTGCTGGCTGCCACTGACATCATCCATGGAGATACACTTCCTGTTGATCCTAGAAAAGGACCAGAATTGCCAGCAGAATTTAAAGTCAATATCCCTTTCGCCATTGCATGAAAAGAACCAATGGCAATGGGATCCTGACTAAAATTGACTGCACCTCCTCCTATTGAGACTGTTAAAAGGTCAACTCCATCAGCAATAGCATCATCAAAACCGGCCAAGATATCTGCTACTGGACATCCTGTCGACGAACAGACTTTATATACAGCAATTCTTGAAGAGGGAACCCCTCCTCTTGCCGTACCCTGTCCCACTCCGAATAAATTTGCATCCTTTACTTTGTTGCCAGCAGCCGTAGAGGCAGTATGGGTTCCATGACCATCGTCATCTATAGCTGTTCCATTTACACCTTCTACTGAGGAATAAAACCGAGCTCCAATTACTTTTCTGCAAAATGGTAATCCAGCATCAATTGATATGCAAGCCTTCTCTAGCAGAAATTTTAACATTAGATCATTTGAGCATCAGCAAAATAATAACCATGGTTTAATTAACGAGAGAAACACATTACTTGTTGCAAGTGAAATTTCTGCCACCTTTACAAGCACCTTTCCACTTCTTGGGAGCAGGACCAAAACCTTCATCACTAAAACTTTCGGATTCTGGCCAGATTCCAGTGTCTAAAACTCCGATTATAACATCACTCTCAACACTGGGATTTCGTTTAGCAGAATCACCTAAACCTATAAAATCCCAGGATCTTGTGGTATGAAGCTGGAGAGTTGTACTTGGAAAAACTGAGACGACCCCTTTCATGCCTGCATATCACAGTTTGGAAATACATTCTGTAATAAAAAGGGCCAAAAAAAACAAAAAAAAGCGTTGTCTATATTCAAGTAAAATAGCGAAGTATTGTGCAGAACTCACTGGCAAGCTTTTGCCTCTCGTTATCAGTGAGCTTGGCAGCAAATCCATTAAAACTCCTCTTGTAACTTCTAACCATTATATTTTCTACAGAGCTGGGTGCCGAAATACAAAGAGAGAGGGTTTGAGGGAAAAGTTGAAAATACTATTATAGTAATTTAGATTCTGTCCTGGAAAACTACCTGGCATCAACAACTTCTTGAAGCATAGTTTGATGGGACGATGATGCTGAGTATTCACCCTCAGGAAGTGATCCCATGTAGACAATGTAGACCTGCATCAATACAATGGGAATTTTAAATTTATCCTGTAGTTTAATGAAAATTGAGAACGGTATCTGTTAAGAAAAAGATGACTTACTTTTCTATCTCCTTCAGTGGCACCATAAAATGTGCTCAGGTTGAGTAAAAGAAAGAACGAAAAGAAACTAAACACAAAGAATCCATTGTTAACCATTGCTTCGATGCTCCAATCTAAAGAGCAACAAAATGCTATTTATAGATAACAAACGCTCTCTCAAATTTATAGAATATGTTTGGTAAGCTTCCATTCCATATTCTTTTCCTAATGCATCTTTTGTGTTACAGCTAATAAGAGATTGGAATCAATGAATGTATTTACCTTTACTGGATACATACAGCAGAGATTATTCAATAAGATTAGTCTGAATAGGGTGTAGTAACATTAATGTGCTATTAAAAATTAAAGCGATGGCTGAACCTGGTTAATACAAATAAGGAAATGCAAAAGAATATCTAACAATGCATCAATCAAATCTGATTTCTCCTTAATGTGCTAATAATAGATTGATTTGTTTCTATTTAGTCAATAATTATGGTTTGATTGTAGGAGTAATATCTTGGCAATGAGTTGAGGCTCTTACCATAAAGAGAAAGAGTCTTTACTATGGTTCCACTTCTGCAAAGGATAAATGGGCAACGTGGACTGAGATGTAAAGTGACCAAAATCATCAACATAAATTCCACTTCATATGATATGAATTCTGCAACTGCCTAAGCATTTGCAATGCATTTTATTCTAAAGCTTGAAAAATCCAATGCATTAATCTCGAAGAAGAAAAAATCCATGTAACGTTTCTGATTAAACACTCCTTCAGTTGAGAACAATTGGACTTCTTGTTGAAAGGTGATATCATGCTGGAAATGCAGAAAGGTGGCAGAATTTTGAACTGCAATTTAATGCCTGTTGATCTCCCGTAATTCATGCAAAAGCAGTTTTTTGGTCACTGTGTTTGATTTGTTCAGTGACTTGTTTAAGTGTATTAAGTTTGGTTAAGTGTAGTTTCTCTCTTGCTTGTAAGTGTATTAATAGGTGGAGTTAGTTTAAAATTTGAATTTTGAATTGTTTTAGTTGAAACAGTGACATTGGCGTGTATATATTTTACCCCTGTTTTTTGAATCAAAAACAGAGCATTATTGCAGTCTTGAGTTTCTCTTTCGTTTTCTGTTTTTTTTTTTCTTTCGTTTGCATGCAAAACTAACAAATGGTATCAGAGCGTTAATTGATCTTAGAGAGCCTGATAATTAATCTTCTTTCTTCTCACTTTCAACCCCGGTTTCGTCACTCTCTTTGTCAAAAACTCAAAAAAAACTTTCAGTTTCAATGGCACAACCTCCAGTCTCTCTCACACCTCCAGTCTTTAATGGCGATCAATACCACATGTGGGCAGTCAAGATGAAGGCATTCCTTCGTGGACANGTTCTGCCCGAGCGATGCAGGATTCCGTCGAGTATGACAATTCCAAATTTTGGCTCTGCGCATGCGTATTGAGATATTTAGTGCTCTGCCTAGGCGTTGAGCTTGTTTGCCAGGTATTGAGATGGTTTTCTTTTGACTCTGCCCGCGCGATGATAGATCTTGCCGGGTATTGAGATGTATTTCCCAGCTCTGCCTGTGTGTGGGATGCCCACCAGGTATCGAGATTTTTTTCCAAGGTACTAGTTGTGGTGAGAGTTTTCTGTTATTAACATCAGAATCGGTTTTAGAATGCTCAAAATCACATTCAGTTTTTAACATCTACTATGAGCGATAGCCTCAATATGAGTTTTATGAATATTAGGAGAGCCTTCAGTATTAGCTACAGTTTCGAAATAAGATATCAGCTTATAGTTTTCAGTATCAATAAAAGCTACAGTATCCAGTTTAAAGTTCAGTTATCAGCATAAAGTTTACAGTATTCTAAAATCAGTCATCAGTGCATAGTTTCAGAAAAATCAGTTTTCAATTTTATGTCATCACAATAGCTACCACCATTTCATGTTCATGGAATCATGTTGTTTTCAGTATTTCATAAGAACCATTGCATGCCATAACTTTTGTTTGACAAATGTTTTGCAAACTTCCCCTTCCCCCCACTCACTGAGTATTTTAGCTCACCCCTTTTCAAAAAATGTTTTCCTCCCCCCCAAGTTTACAGGGAGATAGTGCCGAGCAGTGCGTCATAGCTCAAGGTTGTAGCACACATCGACATCTTTTTATGTGTGTTTTACATTTATGTCGTATTGTATTTTTGGACTTTTGTTTCAAAACCTCATGTTTCCCATCATTTATTTCCTTTTGTTTATGTTTCGAAATGTGTTGTATAAGTGGAAAACCTGATACCACAAGTTTCCCTAAATCTTTTCTTTTGTAAAACGAAAGATGTACGCTTTTTTTGTTTTTTTTTTTACAACAGCCCCCAAATTCTCTTAATTCTAGTATAACCCTACCACATCATCTTTTTCTTGCAAAAACCTCCAAATTTTTGCCCCTTGTTACATCCAAACCCAGCAACTTCCTTTTCTTGCAATTTCATTCCCAATATAACTTTTAAAAACTAACAGAAATCCCCTTCCATAAAGATAAAATCACAAAGAATATATAATATATATATTGTGATACCAAGTTGACACGATCCGTTTCGAATTTCCTCATCCCGTAGGATTTGGGCACTCTCACAAAATTTGGATACCCGAGATGTGCCATGTAGAAAAAATGTGAAACCTGTTAAAGAGCTTACTTTTTCTGAATAACATCATAGTATTTCCATTTCCAACATCTCAAAAAAAAAAAACGTACATCTTTCGTTTTACAAAAGAAAAGATTTAGGGAAACTTGTGGTATCAGGTTTTCCACTTATACAACACATTCCGAAACATAAACAAAAGGAAATACATGATGGGAAACATGAGGTTTTGGAACGAAAGTCCAAAAATACAATACGACATAAATGTAAAACCCACATAAAAAGATGTCAACGCGTGGCACAACCTTGAGCTTACTGCTTGGCACTATCTCCCTGTAAACCTAGGGAGGAGGAAAACATTTTTTGAAAAGGGGTGAGCTAAAATACTCAGTGAGTGCGGGGAAGGAGAAGTTTGCAAAATATTCATCAAACAAAAGTTATGACATGTAATGGTTCTTATGAAGTATTAAAAACAACATGATTCCATCAACATGATATGGTGGTAGCTATTGTGATGATATAAAATTGAAAACTAATTTTTCTGAAACTATGCACTGATAACTGATTTTGGAATACTGTAAACTTTATGCTAATAACTAAACTTTAAACTGGATACTGTAGCTTTTACTGATATTGAAAACTATAAGTTGATATCTTATTTCAAAACTGTGGCTAATACTGAAGGCTCTCTTAATATTCTTAAAACTCATATTGAGGTTATCGCTCATAACAGATGCTAAAAACTGAATGTGATTTTGAGCATTCTAAAACCGATTCTGATGTTTATAACAGAAAACTCTCACCACAACTAGTACCTTGGGGAAAAATCTCGATACCTGGTGGGCATCCCACATACAGGCAGAGCTGGGAAATACATCTCAATACCCGGCAAGATCTATCATCACGTGGGCAGAGCCAAAAGAAAACCATCTCAATACTTGGCGGACAAGCTCAACGCCTACGCAGAGCACTAAATATCTCAATACACATGCGCAGAGCCAAAATCTGGAATTGTCATACCCAGTGGAATCCTGCATCGCTCGAGCAGAGCCAAAAATTTGTATCTCTGGGGGATGGGTACTTCGTATGGTGGTTTTAGCACCACAACATACTCATGCATAATCTCAAGTAACATGTAAGTCAAGAGTATATTACGTATGTGCCTATAAATCATACATATATGACATAATATTCAAAAATCACATCCAAGGGTGAAATTGGAAATTTCCAAACATGTTTCAAAACTGACAGTTTAACCCAGATTAAAAATTACTTTCAACATCACATTACCATAGCATATGTGTCCGACACTAATCATAAGATATATACCACATTTCATAAAAAAAGCAAATCATGCCAAAACGTATGAAATTCCATGCAAAATGGGGGTAGAATGCAAGTTTTAAAACATACTTTCAAAACTGACAGAAAGCACCCCTTCTCTCTCTTTTTTTTTTTTTTTTTTTTTTTTTTTTTTTTTTGATGTGAAACCCCTTTTTTTAATCCTAATATTATACATATTCTTTGTGATTTTATCTTTATGGAAGGGGATTTCTGTTAGTTTTTAAAAGTTTTATTGGGACCGAAATTGCAAGAAAAGGAAGCTGTGGGTTTGTATGTAATAAGGGGCAAAACATCTGGAGGTTTTTGTAAGAAAAGATGATGTGGCAGGGTTATAATAGAATTAAGAGAATTTGGGGGCTGTTGTAAAAAAATAAATAAATAAATTGTTTTATATAAATTGGGCTGCTGGCCCAAACGAAAGAAGAAGAAAGTTGAGAGAGAAAAAACAGGAGAAGAAGAGAGGGGGAAGAGAAAGAGAGAAGAAGAAAGAGGGAGAGAAGAAGAGAAGGAAGAAGAAGAAAGAAAAAAGAGAAGAGAAGAGAAGAAAAGACCGAGTTCGGCCAAGAGATAGAGTGAGAATGAAAGTGAAGCAAAAATGGAGGATGAGAAATGTTGAACAGGTCACTCTATTTTGGTTTCGGTTGTGGAGGAAGAAAGTGCTTGAGGTTGCTTCCAATTTTCGGATTGAGCTAAAATGGTGAGTGGATCTTAAACTGTTTCCTTAAAAACTTAAGCTTATGCCCTGCATGTTGATTTCCTTTTACTACCGTCCATTTTTTTTCGCAAAAAATCCTTACAAGCATGATGTTTGTGAGTGGAATAGTAGAACTTTGCATAAAATCATGTTTTTAGTGAAATGATTCTATGTTTGTGCATAAATGCCTTAAACTCCGAATTTATTTCAGCTTTGATATGGTTATATTCATCTTCTGTAAACTATCTTGGCATGCATGTGAATGATGTTAATATCATGAAAATTTGGAGCAAGTGTGGACAATGCATGTATAAATAATTATGCCTATACCAAATGTTTTGAATGGAAAGCAGAATTTTGTGTTCCGCCTGTTTGATTTGGTTGATGATTGAGAATTCCAGCTAATTTTGG